GCATAAAAAGTCAAAGCCCGTGATCCATGTTAGATAAATCCTTATCTTTCCTCCTTACAGTATGTTCCTGTGGCTTTTAAGAGTCAAGTCTGCTGGACGTTGTGTAAAATCGTCCTCGGAATTCAAACAGAAAAACTACAATACTGGGCACATTAGGGGGGGAGCCATAGCAGTCTAACTATTCTGTTCTATAAGTCAGGTTGTTACAATTGTCAGCCTCTAAAATCGAAAAGTCTGCATAGCGCATCGGGCGCATCGCACCGAGAAACGTGCTGAATGGTCCTATGGAAATATACCACAGCTTCGATCTTACTTTTCCCTCTCTCATACTGAGAGGTCATGTCACAGCTTTTTATAAAACGGAGATAGAATTGGGCGATGTGATTCACATTTAAAACGTACACAGGCGTGCACGACAATGTTGAAAAGGCATTGGTTTCAGTGTATCTGAATTGTCAGGAGTCACTGTCCATATAAATGTAATGAAGGATATTCGTCTAAAAGGCTCTTGTATACAGCTACAGCACAGCAGACCAAATCAGAATAGTCAGGTCACTCAATATAGGCATTTTTAGAAAGAATAAGCGACCGAAAGCATTGGGAGAAGCAGCAAAGAGTGTCTCTATCGATTTAATACAAAGTGTTGTGGGGAACAGCGTCGCTATCTTGCCAACCTCCCGAGCTTGCGTCGAACGCTATAATTTGTTACACGCCATACATAGTCAGACTACAAGTGTTTGAGGTCAGAAATCTGACCACACAAGTAATAGTGGTTTTCACTGAGCCGAGCCAGTGCGTCTGTGTTGGATACCGTCCTTAGTTGCGCTAACACTTAGCTAAAAAGTGACTTGCTGCGCAGGAATCGTATCGGGTGTCCCTGTGATTTCTGTACTGCATGTACTTGCACTCGATCTGGCTGTGTTTATGCCTAATCTAGCCGGCCTCACTGATATTACAGACGGTACCTCTCCACGCGTGACGGTTGGCGGCAGTGGATCTGGAAAGGTCCACCCATTCCCTTCTACGGATATAGAAAGGCGAAGAATCGTTTTCGTGTAGTGATGAACTGTATCACCTTCGACGCCTCCAGGTGAGCAGTG